TATATAAATTGATTAATTAGATTTTATGTTATTGCACTAGAAGCCATTTAATATTATATCATAGCATGTACCATCAGCAGTTAGTTATTACAACTTATAAAACACATAAATGTTATTATTATATAAATTTATTTCCTGGCATGCTATAATAAAATATCCTATTTGAATTAATTGCATTGAAGTGTCTGAGTAAGACGTGGTAAAAATGTGAGCCATTTTCGTGATTAAAGGATTGCTTTTTATCTCAAGTAAGACTTCATTATTTGTAAATGAATATTGGTTCATATCTTAATCCTACTGTGTGGTGTTTAACACATTTATTTTAGAAATTGTATTTGTATTCTCAAATTGAATAATGCTGGTTTGATAAATTAATGGTGTCAGAGCAGTGTATGGAACAACAAAAGTACATCTAGAAGATCTGCTAAATCAATACATACCTTTTCGGGGTAATTAAGAACATTAATATGTCATAACTTTCCCTAAATGACATATATGTATAATTATCACCTTCTGGTCATACCAGTAGATATTTCATTAGATATATTATTGTTATTTATGTAGTTACTTTTGTTTGGCAACTGTAATGGAATTTAAACTTTAATTTTAGTGGGTTTTTTTTCACTCTTTGTCTTTGATTTCAATGAGTTTATCTAAAACCGTTTGATGTGAAATGTCAAATTTGATAACAGCTGTTGCACGCATTCAACTTAGTGTCACTTTATGTACTTAGTTGAATAGAATATATTTCTGTTGCACTGATGATTATTCCGCTTCAAAGATCAAAGTGTATAAGCATATTTTAAACCTCGTTTATGCAGCACGCATAATGTTCATATGGCAAATGTCGTGAAGTCAGTATTCAAAAATGTTCGTGAGTTTCCGAATATAAGAAATAAATGCTAAATGTGACGAACTTCGAACATCTTGTAGTTTAATATTTCACATTGGATGGTACGAGTATAGAAGAAACAACACGGTATTTAAAACATCAAGTAGACATTCATAGCTTATTGAGAATATAGTATTACTATCAACATTTGATAAGCTTCAAACGAAAGTGATCGATCAGTCTTTTTTCTCAAGTTAAATGACTGGTTAAATTGCATTGTTGGCCGACTAGTTTTCTGTAGTCCGTCTGTTATCAGCTTGACTTCCTGTAAAATTTACAGGAAAGAACTGAATATAAGAAGTATTTTCATTGGTCATTTTAATATTGCAAACTGAAATCGGTGAATCTCATTGGTCATTCTAAAATAAAATGGAAAGGATTGTTCTTACCATTCTGAAATAGAATTTCTTATAAGGATTGCCATATGATTAAATGTAAAGGATAGTTTTGCCACTATAAAACAAAATGTAGGGTAGTCTTAAAGGGATGAAGATAGGGTTTCTTTTATTTTTCGGCCGAATGCCGTCTGGTTTCACATTGACTTCCGCTAAAATTAACAGTAAAGAAATGAATATAGGCAGAATTTACATTGGTCATTTTATCACATATAGCCTGGTCGATTGATACTTAGGAAGAGCTTCCGTTATAGGTAGAGGTCTGTTCGATTGCGCAATGGAAAGAAGTGTTGGAAAAAGATATAAGTATAAATATAAAAACACATTAATGATATTTTCTAGATGTTTCATACAGCTTTTCAATACAAATATGAATTTAAATATGACTGATCGCCTTTTTAATACTTTTGCGTTCGATTGGTTTTCTCTTCTAAGCTGTTCTAGTCATTATATTCTCTTCTCGAACCGGGCATAAGACGATTGAAACGAACTTTCGACTAATTTACAGTTGCAAAATTCACCGTGGAATTAGAGTACAGTAACAACTAAATCTTTGTTTTATTATAAATTCCTATTCAAATCAAAATCCATTTTGATTAAAATCAAATAATGTTAGTAATATTGTTTAAATCTAAGATGACAATGGGGAAAAACAGTGCGGGTAAAAATGAACTGAAATAAAACTATTGAGGACGAATAAAATGCTCTTGTCGTTAGTAGTAGCTTATCCTTTGCAAGTTAACAAGTTTGACTTCGACCGAGTATCTTTTTAAAGATACTTCTTGTTTAGATTAATTTGTAAACGATTACAAAATTTTTCAAGTCAAACGTAAAACAAGTAAAAGGGACACCTTTAATAGAAGTTGTTCGTCTTTCAAAAATCATCAATGTACGTAAGTATGCTATAATTTAGTTTCAATGTTTACAAAATGGGTATTTCTTAATAACTACAAGATATAATTATCATGTCATTTTATGCAAGGATTGCTAACATTTCTTTTTGTATTGAAAACTTAGAAATTGCATAATTTTGCATGTTAAACATATTTACTTCGGCCGAGAATCGTTTTAAACGATACTTTTGTTTTTTAAGATATCCGGAAAATTGATAATAGATCACTCTAATAATAGAAGGTTGACAGATATATTTAAGGAATTAAAAGGGTTAAGGGTTGTGATTTGAAACATTTTGCTCAATATTAACGTCACAGTCTACCTATGTACTTAAAAGTTTTATACTAAAAAATCTTAGTTTCAAATTCGTTTTTTAAGTGTTTGCTTATATCTTTGGTAAATTTCAACAAATTGATACATTTTAAAACACCTAACCAATTGTGTACACACAGATTTGCTTCTTTCCTGTAAAAGTGCTAAAAATTATATTTCTGTTGGTATTAAAAGCTGTCTTCTAGGGTATATTCGTAATCCTATTTTAAAAAAGTAATATAATCTGGAGTCGAATTCTGCCTGAATAGAAATAATTAGTGTCATTGGGAATTTATTCTCTGATATTTCTTACGTAATAAGATATTCCTGTGGGAAAAGCATAGTGAAAAAATTAAAATATTACATTTTATTTTGGTATTCGGAGGTGGGAAGATGTTTCGATATGTCTGGTAAAATTTAACTTTATGGCATGAATTATTTTGGTTCACGTTATCAGTGCGTCAAGTTCTTTACTCATTTATCAATATCTTGATGTGAAACCGTTGTAAATAATCTTAAATTGATTAAAAGTTTACGAGATCTAGCCGGTTTTGTCTTACCAACATGTCGATATAAGCTTCCAAAAACCGAATTCAATGGATATATGTAGAGTAAGCAACCGTTAATTTAACGTATATGACAAAGCAAAGTTATTTGCTTAAAGTTTGTTTAAATTAATACACGTGGTCTTTTTCGTAGATTGAGACAATTAATACGATTGATTTTACATTTTCTTCTAAAGATAATGTTTTGCAAGCAAGTGAACATTTCATAAGTAAGCTGTGTTTTGAAATGTAATATTGAAAACATATTTTGTTTTTAAGATTTGAAAAATATCAAATAGGAGTATGAAGGATTACTTGAACATTAGCTTGAATACTTGAAGTGTTGAGGTACGCGGATACTGCTGAAGCCGGTGCTTGGGGACGTGAGATGTTACACATTACATTATCCCTCGTGAACAGACTTATAAAGCTGAATCTGTAATTGGCAATTAATTCCTTTGTTTTCGATGTTTTTATAAATTTAAAGTAAACCAATTTCTCTCATGTCCTTTAGGTTGCCATTCTTGTACCAATCCAGCAGCTGTGACACAATTCACACGCGCTCCTCTTTTTGTCATCAGTGAGGTCGTCAACGTTAACCTTACGTAGCTTTAGAACATTTGTCAGTGTCTGAAACTTTTAAAAGGCGGCAGACCGAACTATACAACTAACGACTCGAGAAATGTAACCTACGTATCGCGTGTATCTAACATGACATATTCTTTAGAATGTATACGCTTCATATTATGATATCAACAACCGGCTTTTACAATGAAATAGTTTGATGTATTCAAGTTAAAAGATACTAGTATTCAAATAATATATTCAACAATAATATTTAAAGAAAGTAAATAATGATATTTCAACGTAAATGAATAAAACCGTTTTCAAAGTAAAATATAAAGTTTGCAATTTCTTATTCTAACGACTGTTTAACTACTTTGTGACAAAGTAAATGCCTATAAAAGAAATGTTACGAAAAGTTGTCATCGCCAACCAAGACGTCAAGAGGTTTCTTAATTGGAACTCATTACTACATTGATATGAAGATTAATGAAGCTTGAAGGCTATTATTCTTGTAGATTGGCATTATTTATCGGTCATTACATGCTTACTGTCCTCATCAATTGATCGATCGAGTGTCTTGTAAAGTATTATTATTAAAAGAAAACTTATGTATAGATCACTTACTTTCGGCCAAATTCCAAAATCAACTTCTTCAGTAGAGAAGTATTGTAAGGTTTCAGTTTTAATAAGAGGTGTTATATTGTTTATCTTTAAAGATCCGAAAGGACGATACTGTGATGTAGTTTGTGGCAATATAAGATTTTTTCCACTAGATTTGTTTCTTTTATGGTGGTTTAAGATGCATAACACTTAGGATATGTAGCCACCTTTTGAAATATGTCTTTTAACATTTGTCTTTGATATGTAGGCTTTATAACCTCTTATTCCTTTTTATTGTATTACAGCCATTGTTGCCTCGTTTGAGGAACACGTATTATTTTACTGTTAAGAACCGACTGTATTGACGTAAAATTATGACGTACTCATTTAAAATATAATATGTTGATTTGTCAATTGTATTGCAAAATAAATTACCATATATATTGCAGAAGTTAATTATGTTTCAATGAACTATAGATATACAAATGCACAAATTAACTTTAATCAGTTTTATAACTCTAACTGTTTGTATATCAATTTTATATAGATGTCAAAATTGACTAGAGTTAAATATGAAAACATTATTCATTAAACTTTTAAGATATGAAAACGAGAGTTACGACTCTAATACAATGCGCTTTGCTTATATTGACCTATCAATCTGTAAAGTTTCAAGAAAATACTTGTTATGCATTTAGATATGGCCAATAATCGTTGTGTGTCTAAAATTATAAGTTATGCAATATCCTGCAACATACTTCCACTCATCAGAAATAATATTATTGCTAATTGCAGATATGCCAGTACCCTTGTCAATGTCCAGTCCATGAACTCAAATGTGATGTAGGCGTGTCTATTGTGAAAAATGGGTGCGGCTGTTGCTATATGTGCGCGAGACAGCATGGTGATCTTTGTAACATCAAAGACGTGTGTGACACCAAACAGAATCTCATTTGTAACATGACAGCTGGGGAAGTTCCAGGAGTTGGAATATGTAAAGGTATGATGCGTATTAAAAGTCAGATGTAAGAAGCACTGTTTTCCCTTTAAATAAATTAAAACATACACAACTAAATACTATTTCCCTGATGTATTAAGTAGTTATTACCAGTTCAGAGAAGGATTTCTAATGTTTTAATTAACACATTACAATTATTAAAGCTTAAAATTCTACCTAGCTGTCACATGTTCATTGTGCTTTAGTTTTAAAGCATCGTTATAGGATAGTAATAGTCCATTTATAGGAAATTAATAATTCAATTTGTATTAATGAATACACAAAAACAATATTTTTGTTTGTTTGTTTGTTTGTTGTTTCTTTCTTTAACAAAACCGTTCAAATATCAGCAACGTTTGATGCAGAAATATCGACAGTCTCATTTTCTAACTGTAACCGAGCAGACAACACAAAATAATAAACCAAATTGAGTCCACTGGATGTATAATTTTCTTCAAATTTAGCCAGAAACTACTTGCATATTTAAAGTATGAAGTTATTATACATTGTTGGGTTGGGTTCAATGGATGAGTAACAGCTTCATAGCTATATTGGAAGACGCGCTAGCCGAGGCTATATGGGGTACGTTATGCATGCTCTTAAACGTTACTGGGTTTATGCACAGTACATATCTCAAATCCATTTTTTGAGTTGTTTCTTGACAAAATATTACATTATATATTTCAAGTTTTCTTAAATGATTTTATAATTATTATTATTATTCATTTATTTATTTATTTATTTATTTATTTATTTATTTATTTATATGGTTTCTTTTGCTACTTGACAATATAATTTCTTTATTTGATTTCAATCATTGATATTTTGAATAAGGTTATTATCTTAAGATATTTTAATTTCATCACACACAGCCAATGTGTCAAAGCCATGTATAGTGGACGGCAATACATACTCGGACGGTGAAAGATTCAGATTAAACTGTTCCAGCCTATGTACATGTCAAAATGGAAACTTTGGTTGTATAAACGAATGCCAAGATGAACTCAGAGTTCCGTCTGACTGCAAGTAAGTCAATCGTAACAGTTGTTCTTTTTTGAAAATTACTGATAGCAAAAGATAAAATGAGTACAAAAGTTTAATTTTGATCTCATACTATTTGGGGGAAAACACATTTCAGACTTTTACTTGAAACATTTCGCTAAAATATGGCACTTCTATAATGCATCACAATATAACATTACATATGTATTTGATTTCTCTACAAAACAGATTGCACATTTCACATCTAACGCAACATGTTGAAAGTACACTAGAATGAAAGACTATAAGTCTATAAAACTTTACAAGAAATGTATCATATTTAATATCCTATTATTTACATTATATTAGTTATTAACTTCGACGATCCATATATTTTTGTGTTCAGTATAATACAACATATGTCTTGCAAAATCCGTCTCGTGTGAATTTTATTTCATGCCATCTGATAATTCTGGACTCGTGTCCGAAATGTTTCATATTAAATAAAGTGTTTTGTTTGTCTGGAACACAAATGAGACCCGTTCCCTTGGGAGCAGGACTTGTAGAATAATCAGAAACAGCCGCAAAACTTTGTCCATCCGCAAGTTCATTATCTCAGACCAGACTAGTGGAAAAATAACGAAAATGATCTAACTCCCCAAGCGCATTATATTATACAAGCTGTGTCATCACAATACCTCCATACTATACAAAGTTTGACAAGCGATACATTCTGTTTCTTTTTGGGTCACTAACAACTTTATTTAGAGTTCGGTCAGTACTGTTCAATAGATCACACATAGAAGAAAGTTTTCTATGTAAACCAACAAAATGCCCATATTTTTAAAGCAGCTGTGCGTTATTATTGGAAATTACTTATCTGTTAAATGTGACTTCATAGGTAATTTACGTTTATAGATAAAAAAAGAAATAAATAAACATTACGATTTTGCAGGGAAAATAAGACTCAAAAGTTGTACAGATAAATAAGAGATGCTGGGAATAAGTTGTTTTATTAAAGATATGCTCATCTTTGAGTAAATATTTTTATCGCAGAAAATAATTGAAATCTATGACGTCTGACTGAATAATATTAAATTGGTATTAATAAAATAATGTTTATTTAGAAACAACCACAGATGTGCCAAATGTGTCCTTTCTTTACAAAAACAAATATTGCTGTGTTAAATGACACTATATATAACCATATTGTGCCCACCTATAAAGTGAAGACTTAAAAACAATTAATTTTACTCTTTGTGTGGAGTGAAAACATGACTTTTTAATATTTACAAAGAGACTGTGTAGTAATTGTCTTTTTTATCAATATCAAATTTGAGCAAGGTGTATGAATTTTGCACGGATACAATTTTTACGAATTTTTCATAAGTGCAATGTCTTCGATTGCAGTCATGGTAATATAATATGTCGGTAATGTGGCAAGAGTAAAAAAATATGGAAGTTGTTATTAGTTGATACTAATCTATTTTACTTTAATTGTGTTGGAAGCTTTTAGCTTATTGAAACACTCTCGAATCCGTTCCTTCTGGAACCAACCAGTATTAAGCAGTTTGCGTAAATTTTCTTGCTCACGAAAACAACGGCTTGCCCCTGACGGTGTTTGAACCCTGCGACTAGCATTCCTGCGATTACTAGACCGACGAGTTTTTAAAGGACAATATGATATATTGTGTAATACATATACGAGATAAATGATGTTTTTCAATTTGCAGACGACCGAGATTGTTGTCAGTAAGCGGTCAGTGCTGTAAGCAGTGGACGTGTGACTTACAAGAAGAACCGACAAGAAGTCGATCAGGAAAAGGTATAAGTACACGTCACATCACAAACCATCACAGACAACCCATGGAGCTGAAGGCATATTCTATGTTAGGTATGAAACCATATTTCATAACCTTCTCGGTAACTAATTGTGTTAAATGACAAAGAAATAAAATTGTATACTTCGAATTTAAAAATATAAGGACCATTATGTTCAATGACTTTTGCTTCTCCTGCTACAATTATCTGATAATATGGCGAACATTGACTGGAACATAAAAGATTTGTTCAGCTTGTTATAGTTTCTTCTTTCAGCTTCATTATGTTTTGTTCAGTTGATATCACATGGACAACCATCTAAATATTGTGCTTTTGCTTTACCTTTGTAGTGGTTTAAAACACTTATTTTATAGAACTTTACTCGGAAATTATATTGTTTAATATCATTTATTACTACGAAAAATTTTCTATTGTTCAGGCTTGGTAGTTATAAATAATAATAATAATTAGTTTAGTGTTTGACTATGTTAAAATCAGTACTTTTTGGGAAATAAGGCTTCTGTCTACGCCATGCATGTGAACTTTCCATCACTTACCAAGCAAGCAATGCACAACCATATATAGAAATTTCATATGTTTTAGACGATTCTATTCAGATTATTGTTTTATTCTTTTGAATACAGTTAAATACGATTAACGCTTAGAACCTTTGTTGTTTTGTTATATGTTGTCCCACTGATTTTTTTAAGTTGTCTAGACGATAACCTATTTCCGTATGATTGTTTTTTTCAGATAGTGGCTATTCTAACTTCTATCAAAATACTCAGCCATCGTGTACCGCTAATACCACAGAGTGGAGTCAGTGTTCTAAACAATGTGATGTGGGCGTGTCTACAAGGACTGTGACTGACGAGAAATGTAAAGAGATGGCAGAAATGCGTTTATGTTACATAAGACCATGTAACATGGAAATACCAGTTGATGTAATTGTTCTGTTTGACGACATTAATAGTAGTATGGCGTCAATATAAACACCAATTTGTGAAATTGAAATTAAGAAGAAGACTTAAAAATAGTCGTTTTATACAGGTTATACAATGTATTACTGTAAAAGTTACAGTAGCAGTGACCGCTTACCCACAGTTATTACATTTTTTAAGACTTGCAAAGAACAATTAAAGCATACATCACCATGCTATTGTGTTTTGAATGCCGAATACTCAATTTTCAAACGCTGTATTAAAGGTTACCAAGGCAGTTTACATTTGATTTATTCTTTGACAAAAAAGTTTTAATATATATTGTTCTTCAAACCGTATTCATCATTCAACAACATAGAAATATTAAAGTCATCAATTTCTTGAAAAAAAATGCTTCTCTGACATATCATCGCTTGCATATGGATTCCGAACTATATATTTATCTCACAGATAATATAAATTTAGCTGCATATAATCATTTAAATAACAAGATCACACTGTTTTCTGTCACACTAGAATGTTTAACATTTTTCTTCAGTAAAGAAAGTGTGTCATCTTTCGTAAGATATCTTACTAGCTGTATAAGAATAACCTTTCTTCTGTTACAGAAGGAGGAAAAGTGCACGCCTACATCAAGGGTCCCGGGGAAACAACGCCTGAAATATGAGGACTGCATCAGTGTCAAGGCATGGAATCTCAAATTCTGCACTACTTGTAAAAAGCGTCGTTGTTGCTACCCTCGCAGAGAGAAGACTCGAAATCTGGAATTTCAGTGTAAAGGGGGGAGAAGAGAAACTTTTCCCGTGATGTGGATTAAAAGCTGCAGATGTGATAAAAGATGCTATATTAAAGATGCAACAAGACATAGAAGACGTAAGGTTCCGAAATGGAATAACTGAAATAACAAACACAAAATTTTATGACGCGATCATTCTATAAATGGTATCAAGGGACGCCACTGTACAGAAGACTAAGACAGTTACTTATATAAAAATGTCATCGATACAAATGCTTACATTTATGTTCACAAGAAGTTGAGAGAAGATACTTTATGACAGTATTGTAAATATTGTTTGATTGCAGACGAGAATTTAGAAATATTGTGACAATTTGGCCGAGTATAAACTAAATTGTCCCCTATGATGTCAGACGGGTATTACGGATTATTTATTTTATAAATGTTTTTTTAAATAAATTTTAATGACTGAATGTTTTAATTTACAATCTGTCTAGCGGTATGTCAACAAAACCAAGTTAATGACAAATTAGAATAATAAAGTATAACATAATAAGGACGTTGTTGTTCACATCAGATTATCTATGTTGTGATATGCATGTATCAACAATTTACATACCATATAATTGGAATTTTCAGTTCACAGTAATCACATGCATGCTATATATAATAGATTTAAGTTTTATAAAGTTCATCACTATTTTATCTTCTTGTCTATTATAGATTTAACATAATGTTGTTTTTTTTCTTATGAATGTACATACACAAGCGAATGTTAAAAAGAAAAAATACATTGTACCTATATATACTTACTTTCAATTTTATTATGTATTTCATAATTTGACAGATAAAGATATGCTTATCTTTTGGTAAAATATTTTTAAATGCAGAAATTTCTTGAAATCTAGTTAATTCTTCCTGAATATGTCTAATTTGAATAAGTGAATGTAGAAAACTATGTTTGGGAGGCTACACTCCCTATTTCTTTTCAAATTCATTTGGTTTGGTTTGTGTTGTTATACTTTTCTGGCCCTTCAGGGCACTATTGAGTGTTGAGAATAGAATACCGCTCAAGCCGGTGCTCGGGGCGTGAGGGATGTTGCACTTATTTATTATCCCTCATGTTCAGACTCAATCAAACCGAGTCTGCAATTTTCATGTAATTTTGTTGTAGTTAATGCTTCCGAGGGATCACTTTGTATCTAGATTTTTTATAAACATTTCAGCTTTTGAAATGACACTATATAATCATATTTTGATTACCTGTAGTGTGTAGAGTTAAAAACATAAAATATGTTCTGTGTGTACTCAAAAGATGACTACTTTACATTTCAAAAGAGACTGTATAGTGATAATCAGGTTTATTTTTCAAATATCAAATTTGGACATGGTATATCTTTTTAACATTATGGTTCTGTCAGCAAATATTGCACTTATGTATATAATAATTGAATTACATAGTCAATGTGAGATATGATATTCGTTCTATGTTGTAAACGTATTTTAAACTTTCATTTCTGATGAAGAGTAAGAGATTATATTGTTTGCACTTTTATTTCCTATCAAGATATTGGAATAAAATACAAATGAAATAAAAACAAACAGATCCCTTTTTTCTTCTTTTGTAAGTTTTTGCCATCTATTGATTGTGACGTTATTATATCAATACATTTATCAAACTTTAGTTTTGGAAACATCTCAAACTTATGAATTTTAATATTACATATTTCAAATAGATTGTTGATAGATAGTTATTAAAAATACTTTTATGTTCACTACTTAAATATTCGAATAAAAAATTGAAAAAAAACTTCAAAGTTATTTCCTTTGCACATTTCTCAGTTTAGTAAAATACTTTTTTCTGACGACAATAAGTTAAAAGCTATTTTTATGCTTCAGAAATGCTATATTCTTCTGTACAAAAGGCAACAATTAATTAACTTTACCCAGCTTTACTGGTGGGGGAATACTTTCAAATAAGTTCATTCCTATTCTTTGTTGACAGCTTGTCTGGGTTCATGATGGTAAAACATATTTGTAGTCAAATTAACGGAATTGGAAATAACAAATTTGAAATGGTAACGAAGTTTCATTTTATTTCTTTAATTGATACGAGGGATGTTCCAGAATTACCCGGAGTATGTTCATAAGTCTGACAATTGTATTGTTGTCCTCAATAAATTTATGCTTGTGAAAAGATAGACGCTTTCTCCTTTTAAGAAAAACATCCGTCTAAAATAACTATGATTATGCTACACCGACGCAGTTAATAAAACGTTAAAATTTAATACGTATTCCACAAAAGTGCACTTGTGTAAAATTCGCCGAAACCTGATGTGAAACCCCAAAAAAATCACACTTAGCCTCAATTTAGGTAATTTGAAATTGGAAAAGATATATTCAGAAAGTACATAATAAATGAGTTAACTAGCAAAAAAGAACTACATAAGGTCTACAATATATTAATTGTTTGTTTGGTTTGGTTTTACGTCGCACTAACACAACTTAAATCATATGGCGCCGAAAGATTGATGGCTTACCTCGGTTGTTAAAGCAACAACAGTGGTCGTCAAAACCACCTCACCTGCTGGAGCAATGAGATGCACAGACTACAGTAGTTCAAACCCATTTAGTCGCCTCTTAAGATCACGCATGGATAAACGATGACTGCAATTCTGATGCCATAACCCTTAAAGGCAACACCTCAGTCACAAGAAATAATGTAATTGAAACAATGAACGTGTAGTATTAAAACATTTACAATGATATGGTTATAAAATGTACTGGTATATTTTGATAACGAATAAAATGAATCATTACACAGGTACAGTATTTGTATTTGCTTGAATAGTATAAATCTTCAAATTAAAAAGAGATAATGCTAAATTTTCCCATATAAAAAAAATAAATTCCAAAAGGCCTTTGGATATTTCCGTTTGATTTAAAAATTTATAAAGCAATAGTTTATTAATCATATATCATCATTTCTATAGATTAATTTATATTACTAATAGCTATGATATTAGGTATGAATGGTTTAATCAATATAAATCTCCTGCAATTATAAAAATGTCTGTTAGAACAAACCGTGTATGCTGTATAACATTTTCGGAAAGTAATTGCTATCTATTTGATCATAATGATCACTTATTCACAAATACTTAAGTAATTTTTTGCATCAAATAGAATCAAAGATATCAATTAAAGTATTTACTTCAACTTGATTGGATCTTCATTTTAAAAAGACAGTGCAATAAAAATATTGCAGCTTCACATCATGGATTGATATAATCATATATAATTATAGAATTAAAGGTTATCGAATAGTCAATAAAATAATATTGATGGAATGATTGAGCAGGGATTTGGCTGCTTAGTTAATTAACGCAAGCTACAAATAAACCAATGTAACTTGAAGATATAAGATATAGGTCTTCAATAGGATAGATTAAAAGAAAACGGAAAGTAATGTGATCAGGTGATGCGGGGAGGATGCAAATCGAGATATTTCTCAATAAAGATGATATTTAATGACTACAATATGACATTCCTGAACTGATTTCACCTCGTATTCAATATTATATAATCAATACATGACAATGATGAGAAACATGCAGTTTCTACAATCTGTAAACAGTAACTGTTTCTGTAAAATAATTGTCTTTGTAACCAATATGTCGTTAGTGTAATTAGAAAAATATAATATGACAATTATGATGATTTAATTATGTGAAATACGAAAGACACTTATGCTTTCTTATTTAATACATTTGTGTTTCGTGTTCTTTTACTACCGTTCTTCTTTTTTACTCCTTCGTTTTTAGTAACATCCGTCGCGAATTTCAAAGTGTATAAAGCTATATCTTTGGTGTTTTTGAATGTCATAAATATTGTTTATATTATAATTAAAATAGCTAAAAAAATAATAAAACAAAAGAAATATGTCCATATATTTCAATGAAAGCAAGTGGATCATGTATTATATAATCGCTAAACTAACTTAAATAGTAGGGGAATATTTTGCTCCGGAACATTTAATTCTGATTTATGTACAATATTCATGATTGTTAAATAACAGGGGCATTCTTTGTAAAAACTTTTTCGATATATTACCGTTAGGATATGAAAACAATATGTATTTACCGCTTTTAAATCTTTACAAAACATCTCATCAAAATAACAAAACGGAAATAGCAAGTGCATGAAATCGTCTAATAAGAAGTCATGACGCCTCTAAATAAGAAGTCATTACTAGATTGATAAGTGATTTTATGACCCGTATACTCTATCATTTACGTTCATTTACTTTATTTATTGGTCATTCCTAGCAAAATGTCCTAATCTTGGATCGATCATTTGTCTTCTGTACTGCAAACTTCCGAGGGATCTCATCTTTCAAAACTTTTTACATTGGCCGAAATGGAATAATACAAAGTAACCACACGTCAACACCGGATTACTATTGGCACTGTCATAATTCAGATCTGCCGGTTTTCGAACTTCAACCTCATTTGATTCTTCATCAGGATGAAATGAAACATTGCAAAAAAGAAATATAAAGGTTTTTTATCAAATCAAAGCTAGCTAAGGTTTGTGTATTCAACTACGTTAATGATTGCAGTTTTTCTGTTATATTCGAAAAACCTGTGCTTAACAAATTAAAACAAACAATAAAGTGATTTTGTATGTAAATTTTTTCATCCTTTTTTATCATTCATTTCATGTATGATACATCTCATTGTATATAGTACTAAGACAGTTAGCTCTTATTTTCCTCTAAAATAAGTGTATGAGTTTTCAATCTGTTCACTTTAGTAGTGTTTGGTGATTCCGACTTGCACGTAAAAATATAACTTAGATGTGATGCCGAGGCCGGGATGAGTACTATAACTCTCTACCTATTCTTGGAATAATCGAGCTAAATATGAATAAAATGGCCAGGGAGGATTTCGTGACTATAATAATGATTATTATAATGACTATTCTGGATTTTAATAACTGGTTGTCTTTAATGTGCATTTTGAGCATAAAATTAGTTTTGTGACATCTAATATGATCACTGGCAAATTCGAAAACATGGCCAGAAATCACATGCTGTTGATTTTAGATGTCAAGGCCGCCAGTTTTGTAAACACTGCTTTTTACAATGTTTTAACAGCATGCTCGGTAAAAACAGGTCAATTACAGGAGGGTACAAACTTTAAGAAGTAGAAAACATTCTACAAGACGATTCACCTGTTTCTTTGTGAT